TATAATAATAATAAAACGTATACAGTTTTGTTTCAATAAAACCATTGGCAGACGCTTTGCACTATTTTATATTGGTTATCGTTTATATAATAATATGTATTTATGGCTATTTCGGAGAATTATTCATATACAGCTGGCTATAATATGGATTTCGGATGTACAAAACGATACCGTTATCCGTTTTATCTTTCCGTGCGACATTTTACGTGGACGTCGACATTTTACGTGCATATAAAACCGACACGGAACTCGCAACGCAGTTTTTTTTTCATTATTTATATTATTATGACATATTACATTATAAAATATTATAATACCTATATAAAGTGTCGTATATAGCGTGTTTCCGTATCGGGTGAGTCGATGCGTTATACACACATACACACTCATATATATATATATAGGCATACACTCGTAGTAAAATATGATAAGAAAACCGAAGAAAAAACGCCAAGCTCTTTTACTCATGTATAATTTTCGGCGTATTCGTGTTTTTCGATACATAAAATATCGTATTGCGTGATATATTATTATAATATTGTGTGCAGTAAAGGATCTTCGTATATATCTGCAGGTGAGTATATATATATATATTATTGTTGTATAAAACTGAACGCAAATCCATTCTCGCCCCCCTCCCCCCCAAAAAAACTGTTTTTGTTGTAATTTAAGCGTATCCGTTTTCCATCACATCAAGCCGCCAATCATTTTGGTCTGGATTGGATATTATTTTTATTATATCGTTCAAACCGGCGCACGTATGAATATATACACAATGCGATATATATTATATTAGATATTTATTTTAATAATATCTGTTATTTATCCGAACGTATAACACACACCCACACTGTACATATTGTACGACGAATATTGCACAACAATAGGAATCCAAGTCGCGCCGAGGATTAGGCGTCGAATAATAATAATAATAATAATAATAACATTATGACGGTCTTAGGATTTCAATATCGCATAATATATTGTATATATTATGTGTCGTGTATATAGGTTATATATATGTTACTTGGGATTCCTTCGAACCAATATTGATACACATTATATATTACATTATTTAATATATAATAGAACAACGTACTATTACTACATTATATTRTGCGATTTATATAGAAACGTATATAGATTTATGTGTATAATATAATGTATAGTTTGTTTTTTTTATCGATCATAAGCCCGGCAACTATGGCCATTAGCTGTTTATAGGGTGGACGGTTGATTCGGAACACGTAATATTTTATGTGTGGCAAGAAGCTGGTCAGAGCGTGTACGCAACTGTAGAGTATTATAGACATTAGGCCACACCTAGCCACATAAAGATTTTAATGACGAAGCTGAAGTCAAAATATACGCGTGTGGTGGTGTTTCAGTCCAATATTGCAAAATTAACATACATAACCACACAAATTACCTATAGGTAGGAAATGTGTAAATGACAAACTGTATAATATTTTTTAGGTAGGTACAAAAAATACCCAAGCAATATAGTTTTGAAATGTGAGGAATAAGAAGAGGTTCATTATCAGGGCTYGGATTTTATATAGCATTTGCTTATTGTTATAGGATACAGATAAAAATAGCTGAGTGAGCTATAAATTTATTTTATGCATCGTGGACTCTAAATATGACATTTTATAATGCTATTTTTTTGTATAATTGAAGTGTTTTATGTTTTTAGTGCAACCTATTTTTCAAGTTTTGATGCTATTTTTTGGCTGATTTGCATAAAATAACGTTTTATTTTGTGTATTCGTGAATCTAGTTTATATTACGTCGTATGAAAAAAAAAAAATTCCATTTATTTTGATTATATTTGGTTCGAATCCTTTGAAAAAATGTAAATACTCACATTTTTGTGCATATTAAAATCTATTTTAAAGTAGTCCAGTGAATTGGTYTATCGAATAGTAAACAATTGTGACTCCCATTATCGGTTGTAACTTTGTAAGGCTCGTATTTATGTATTTTGTGTAGTACACTAGTACAGTCTGTCATACGTATTTTTTTTTTAAATTCTGCTTTTAAAAAAAGAATACATTTTCATTGTTGCTATTTATCCACGTTTTTAGAGCATATTATAGCGCTTTTTTTTTAAAGATTTTTTAGGTGCTATAAACTCCGAGCCCTGCTCATTATAATCAAAGTAATTTACGCAAAAACTAAACACTCTCATCAGCCACATAGTTTTGCTAATGACGATATTATTATATTATGTAATGTGGATATGTATTGTGTATTGTATATGTATTATGTATAATATTTTATAATACCAATAATATTATACTCACATATTATCATTGTGTACGCTCAACGTTGCAGCCGATGAAATTATATATGTCAAATGCGATTTTCGTTTCAAAAAAAAAAAAAAAAATTATGTTTGTATTTCTCTTCAACACTCATTATTATTACAGTAAAACGTAGAACAAAAAGAAAAAAAATTTATAAATTTACCTAACTACACGAACAATATCGTACAATAATAATTATTTAGTAGTATTTTTTTTTTCATATATAATATATTAGAATATAAAATACACGTTACACAAAATGGTTATACAGGGAATATGCGGAAATATTATTCTATACACGTTGTTATTGATTAAAATAATAATAATAATAAAAAAAATGTACACAATGTATAGGTATATCATCACTATATAAATTGAACGACCCTAAAATTTTTATTGACTTTAAAATAATTTTAGAAATACAAATATTTATTACACGTGAACAAAAATTAAAACCTGTAGGTACAACACATTTTTCCTTATAAATAATAAAACATTGTCACAAGCTTTAACGTCCCGACTTTTTAAAATGTACCTATATATAATATATATATAGGTAAATTGAGGTGGCATACGATTATATTATAATGTAAACACATTGAATTGATTGAGAGCTTGAAGTTTCTATTCAAACCAATATGACATTGTAGTTTTTATACGTTCCGAACATTCGAGTAAATTCTACGAGTTCCATAACAAATTTAAAAATAACTGTTAAGGTTACGATTGTTTTGGATATGAGTATCATATATACCTATATTCAGTATATTATTAWAATAAATTGCTTTTCGATGAATGATTATTCTGAGAGAAAATTACTTTTTTAGACTACAATATTGTATATTATATACTATTTCAAGAAAAATTTAAGTCGTGAAATCTTGACGGTTTGTCGTTTGATGAAATAATTAAAATTTTGAGATCTAGTTTTAAAATCATGACAAGGTTTGTGTAAAAATATCTCATTGTMTAGGTGATCGATTCCATAATGTTCAAAAATATGAACAAATATTTTTCTACGCTCGTTAGTATTTTGCTGCCGCAGAGTCGAAAAACAATATCAATGCTCRGAGAATATTCCAATCGAGCCTCCCACCGTGCGTGTGAGTAGGTAAGTACATAATATTTTTTATACAACGAAAACACGTGATTTATTATAATATATAATATTGGACTAGACGAATGGTTTCTTATTATTGCCGTAATAATATTCGTAAAATATAATAATAATAATATATAATATACTCAAGAACTATTCAAATACATTAAATGTGGGTATCGTATACACACTGTACAAAATACGCATAATTATGATATACATATTATATATATATATATATCGTTCGTATATGAGACAATTAAATAATAATAATATGTTAGACTTACACAATACTTTTATTATGTTCATTTAGTACACGATAATTTAATATAAAATAATAATAATATACATTGTAGCTTAGGGAGATTTTTTAACGGTGAGAAGTTAAGAAAACCGCGGTATACGCATATACAGAGTGAGCCGCGGAAGACGCGTTATTTAATGTACCGTGGTATAAGCGGCTATCCACTCTGCAATACGGATATAGGTCAGCAAAAAGTCTAGCGACAATATTGGTACACATATCATATGTAAGAGGGGTGGGTGAGCCGCGTTCTATGTGTCATAGAACTATTATCATTATGTGTGTGCGACAGACAACACGAGGATACCTGAGGATACGATGTTCAGCATAATATTACTTATGTCGAAGATGAATCAATTTTCCGATGGCCCCGCAGGTTGTCCCCCAAAGTAGGTACGAAATTTTTGAATTTTGTGACATACTCAAAAAAAAACTTCTATTGGCACCACTGCTTTCGGAATTTTTTAATTTTTTCTAACCACTCTCAAATTTAAAGTAATACCTAAATGTATTTTCACCAAACAATTTTCTGATCGATTATTTTTTTTTTTTTTAAACCACCCACTTCATGGAACCCCCCTCCCCTTTGTGCATATTATAATGTATACGTGTCAATCGTWTCTATTCGATAGCGTGAAATGGATGGGGCCGGGTGGGGGTGGGGGTACGTCGGTGGCAAACACATATTTATACACAACTCACACAATATGTACAAAACGCGTGAAATATTTACAGGTTATACAGTAGGTACAGGGTGGGTTTTCCGATTTTCAAGTTAAACAAACTCGTTGACACACCCCTTYTTGGTACTTAAACACGAATTTTAAGCTAATAATTTACACAAAATACGTACAAACGACGACGAAAACGACGTAGCAGGCGATTAAAGCATGGCCGCAGTGGCGGCATGCATTTGCGTCAATTCGGTGGCGTGTTGTTTGACTGGCTGGCCACCGCCGTCCACCTGCTGTTGCTGATGCTGCTGCTGCTGCTGCTGCTGCTGCTGTTGGTGATGATGGTGGTGATGGTGGTGATGCTGTTGCTGTTGCTGTTGCCGCTGCTGCTGGTGGTGGTGGTGATGATGATGGTGATGGTGTAGTTGGTCTCCGACTAGGTTGTCGACGCCCGCGTCCACCTCTTCGTCATCTTCGTCGTCGTCGTCATCACCGTCGCCGTCGACTTCGTCACCACTGTCGGCACCACCCGCGACAGACGCACCGCCGTCGCCGTCGTCCATTTCCTCTTTGAAGTCCAACAGGTCTTCAACCGTGTACCGGACGCTCCCTCCGGTCCGCTCTTCACGTCAGACGGGCGTCCGGGTGCCTTCGCTGCCGGAATTTCCGCCACCTCCGCCACCGCCGCCGCCACCCGCGCCCTGTCCGCCGCCGTACTGTTGCTGACACGATGACGACGACGATGATCGGTTGCCGCCGTTGGCCTGCACCTGCAGCGAACCCGGCGAACCTGCGGGTTGGTAACCTCCGAACCCGGAAGCGTGCTGTTTGGCCTTGAGCCGGAGGCTGGCGATGCTGCTGGACATGACGTTGCACGGTTCGGCCGGCCGGTGGTGGTACACGGAGTATGGCGTGGTGGGCGGGCAGTACGGTGGCCCGTTCTGCGGCGCGGGCGTCGGCAGCATGGACCCGGCCGCCGAAGTGGCCGCATTGAAACAGTTGACGGGCGCTTGGTGGTGGTGATGGTTCACGGTGCCCAATGGATTCACCGACCACGGGAATGTTTTCGATCCCAACGGGCTTGGCACCTGCGTGATATTCGTCGACATAAATATATTATTATTTTTCATAATTTTTCGTGCCTATAAATAATTAATCATAAAGTGGGATTGAGTGTACGACGTACACTGTACGTACCGCCCACTATAGTTCCCACATGGAAACGAAAATTCAATTTTATTCAGCCAATCATTCAATAATACATATGCATATTTTTATAAAGTGATTACACCTTCATCGAATAGTGCCCAAGTATGTATGTTGAAATCAGTGTGAAAACRGACTTATTAATAAAATCGGACAAACTTATTAAATTCAGCACTAGAATAAAGGGCATTTATGATATCATACGACACTTGGAAAATGGGTGAAAAAATGCGAAAAATCGTGTATTAAAAAAATGATAACCATACAAATTTAAGAGAGTATAAAATTGAAAACCTGCGATGGACAATTTTTTTTTTATACCTCTATCGATTACCGTAAGCAAGTGTAATAAATTGCATTTGTATAAAAAAATCTCACCTTGGTCGCCCAATTGTTGTACGACGTGTAAGCTGTACTGTACAGCGAGTCGGTGTCGGTGAATGGTTGCATGAGACCGTTGAATTGCGTTCCAAAACCGTTCTTAAAGTCCACGGCCGCAGCCGCTGCAGCGTTCATCGCGTTCCTCTCGCGTTTTCGCCACTTGGCCCTCCGGTTTTTGAACCATACCTGTGTATCGTATACAAAATACGTTTAATGAGTAAGAATAATTTTGACAAATAGGTATTTGAAGACAAGCGTTTTGATTTTTCGAATTTTTTCTTCAYACTCWTGTCAGTTTATACACGAAATTGATTTTATCAAACGAACATTTTGATAATTGGCTAGCTTATGTGTAAATATCTAATGTCATGGAATACGGAAGGTAATGAATTCACTTTCATCATCGTGCAACCAGCATAAAACAATATGTAAGTATATAGATATTGTAATAAYTATTGAGTTTTAATTTTAGAAAAGGCATTTYATAATATATTACAATGMAATTTCAATGATATTATGGGGAAGCCAATAATTGTTAATTTTTTATTTATTGGAATGACATAACATTGAACGMTAAAAACAGGATCGGCAGTATCTGGAACGGTCAACTTAGAAACAATGATTTCTAAATATTTTTTGTATTTTGTTTTGACTTTGAAAGGTTGAAGTTACAACTGAGCATGTGACCACCACGCCATGTATACCTTAAATACACGTTGTTCCAATTAATGMTATATAATAATATGATATGTCCATATTATATTATACAATATACATATTGCGTGATTTTATTTCGAGTCACAGAAAATTCAATTTGGATTGCGAAACACTCAACCAAAACTCTAATTTGGTATATTTTAACGAACTGAAACCGCGGTTATAGTCCCCGGCTGTATAATAAATCAGTTGGCAGTCTTTATTATTGTTTGTACAATATACGATATATAGTTTAACTGACGCGASTTTATTATTTTTATTCGTCTGCCATACGGTTCCCGTCTCCGGCGGGTTTAAGGGATAAAACGAATTACACTAAAACACGATGCGTTAAAGAAAATATATAATGTCTTTGATTTATTCTATCGTGGTTATAATAACACTTGTTTAATATTTATGTTGTAGGAATCGTTATTTCCTGCACGATGTTCGCGATAATCATGTAGCCCTCACGGCCGATGCACGATTGTCGTATACAACCACGATGTAGGTATATATATAATACAATAATTATTCATGGAGGTAATACGGAACTGGTTCTTGATAAAAATGTATCATTATACGAATACAATACTGTTCAAATTATTAGATTCCATAATAATTATGTAGAAATCGATTTTCATAACATATTTCATAATAGGTTTTACGATGTCCGAGAAAGTTCATAAATATGATCTTACATATTTTAATAGATCGCTCAAAGTTAATTGGTGAAAACATTAAAATACATGAATGACTATACCAAACTCTTATTCGTCAAAAATATAAGTTGTAAATTCATACCACAATATTTATTTATTTATTATATTCTTTGTTGTAGCCAACCGATTTATACAATACCATTTTATTATTCTATAATTATAAGGTATATTTAGACATTTAGAGTATTATGCATATAAAATGACAATATAGCAACACATTAACCATACCTATAAGTATTTTGACAGTCATAAGTCAGTGTAAAATAACATATAGTTGCGTATTATAATTATTCTTAAAGTTCATAGGAAGCAATTCGTATTTTATCTCTATAYTACCCGAAATACTATTTCAGTGTTTGGGACCAATCAGTAGTCGTCCTATAATATATACACGATTCGCGTGATAGATTATTATTATTTTTTTTATTGGAAGGTTGAGGCTTCGACAACAAGGGCCATTAGCCTGTGGAACTGTCGGGGAGGAAACTGTTAGTTTTGGTACTCGTGGATGTTTTTGGTGGAATTACGAGTGGGCACACGTAGGTTTCTGCCATGCTCGGGTGGGGGGCGGCGGCCTCTYTTTCCAGACAGCATGAACTTTCCGGAAAGCGATGACCCCCATGACCGTGATTCGAATCAGTGACGATGTGCGACGCATCCGACGCCTTGATCCGCCCGGCCACTACATCCCCCAATATATTATATATGTATTATAC